GAGGAGCCTGAGGAACCTGAGGAACCTGAGGAGGAGCCTGAGGAACCTGAGGAGCCAGAGGAGCCTGAGGAACCTGAGGAGCCTGAGGAGGAACCTGAGGAATCTGAGGAGGAGCCTGAGGAACCTGAGGAAACTGAGGAGCCTGAGGAGCCTGAGGAACCTGAGGAACCTGAGGAGGAGCCTGAGGAACCTGAGGAACCTGAGGAGCCAGAGGAGCCTGAGGAACCTCAGGAGCCTGAGGAACCTGAGGAGCCTGAGGAGCAACCTGAGGAACCTGAGGAGCCTGAGGAGCCTGAGGAACCTCAGGAGCCTGAGGAACCTGAGGAGGAGCCTGAGGAAACTGAGGAGCCTGAGGAGCCTGAGGAACCTCAGGAGCCTGAGGAACCTGAGGAGCCTGAGAAAACTGAGGAGCCTGAGGAGCCTGAGGAACCTGAGGAGCCTGAGGAACCTGAAGAGCCTGAGGAACCTGAGGAGCCTGAGGAGCCTGAGGAACCTGAGGAGGAGCCCGAGGAACGTGAAGAACCTGAGGAGCCTGAGGACCCTGAGGACCCTGAGGAACCAGAGGAACCCGAGGAGCCTGAGGAGCCCGAGGAACCTGAGGAACCTGAGGAACTGAGGAACCTGAGGAGCCTGAGGAACTGAGGAGCCTGAGGAACCTGAGGAGCCTGAGGAACCTGAGGAACCTGAGGAACTGAGGAGCCTGAGGAACCCGAGGAGCCTGAGGAACCTGAGGAAGCCGAGGAACCTGAGGAACCTGAGGAACCTGAGGAACCTGAGGAACCCGAGGAGCCTGAGGAACCTGAGGAACCCGAGGAACCCGAGGAACCTGAGGAACCTGAGGAACCCGAGGAACTGAGGAGCCTGAGGAGCCTGAGGAACCTGAGGAACTGAAGAACCTGAGGAACTGAGGAACCTGAGGAACCTGAGGAGCCTGAGGAACCTGAGGAACCTGAGGAACCTGAGGAACCCGAGGAACCCGAGGAACCTGAGGAACCCGAGGAACTGAGGAGCCTGAGGAGCCTGAGGAACCTGAGGAGCCTGAGGAACCTGAGGAACCTGAGGAGCCTGAGGAACCCGAGGAACTGAGGAGCCTGAGGAACCTGAGGAACCTGAGGAACCTGAGGAACCCGAGGAACCCGAGGAACCCGAGGAACTGAGGAGCCTGAGGAACCTGAGGAGCCTGAGGAGCCTGAGGAACCCGAGGAACCTGAGGAACCCGAGGAACTGAGGAGCCTGAGGAGCCTGAGGAACCTGAGGAGCCTGAGGAGCCTGAGGAACCTGAGGAACCTGAGGAGCCTGAGGAACCTGCTCAGCCTGCAGCCAGCTGGGACAGACCGACACATCAGATCAGTCTGAGATCTAAGGACCTGCTTCAATGAAAACTCTCTACAGCTGAAGCTTGTTTCTCACCACGGTTAGTTGGACAGAGGACAAAAAGAAGTGCTCTGGCAGATTTAAAGCGTGCACAGTTACACACACACTTCATACAACACAAGTACTACAGTATACTAGACAATTAATACTACATATCATACATTCATGGTACTTCCTCCTAACATCATACTGATGCCCAGAATAATGTTTCAGATAGTTGAATCTCAGATGTGTTCCTCTCAAAAGAAGACATTGAGCTGACAGAGGGAAACTTTGTGTATTGTGTAGTGTGTTGTGAGTTTGTTTGTTTTAGTGGTGGAGCTGAATGGTGCTCAGAGCTGTCGGGGGTGAGGTGGGGGGTCTCCAGACTGGTCCTGGATGTTATTAAGGCCCCATCCTGGAGCCAGGTCTGGGGGAGGGGACTTTATGCGTACACTGGGGACCAGGGCTCCATCTTAAGCCCAAGATATACTTTTGCTTTGGTCCACCGGCTGGAGTGCGCGTGCACTGAGCCATGCCGGTTCTGTGTTTACAGTTTCTCCTCTGTATTYATAGTTGACGTGCAGCGGTGCACGGCTAAGTGCTGTTCTTTTACGGACCAGCAGGTGGCAGTACCTCTAAAACCTGTGCATAGGTTGCAAGAAACGGATGTAGAAGAAGAAAAGTATGATGTCACACAACTTTATTTCATTTCCTTTTTTAAATTTGAAGTTGTTTTTTCCTTTGCTAACTAAGTGTGGAGCTGCCACTGTTCTGGCCTTGTACCTTTAGATTTTAAATCTGTTTCAGTGTCAATGATGTCAAATAAAATGAAACTACACAGAAATATCCACTGCTACTTTCCTTCTCAGTTTTGTTTGCATATCGTCTTATTCTCAGTCATCAACAGTTTCACTCCAGGGATGAAACAGACTTTTATAATTGTAACAAGAACATTTGTTGAAATGGTATTGTAAATTCCCATCATGAATCAAAAGAAAGCTTTGCTGCCTCACAGGGAAAATCCTCAAATTTTAATTTTTTAATTAAAAATCAAGTTTTTTATTAGTACTGATCAAAAGAGTAATTCTAAGACATTCTTTTGGTTTATTTTTCAGATAAGTAAATTTATATTTACGTTACCAGAACACGCAGTTCATTTTACACAGATTCATGTTTCTGCATCACTTCAGCGATCTGCTTCCAAACCTTCTGTGCCATTTGAACATCTTTATGATCTCTCGTAGAGGGATGATGTAAATGCTGGTATATGAGAGCAGCTTCGTGGTCATCAGTGGAACACACACTAGTCTTTGTGGAGTTTCAAAAAATCGGCGGTGCACAACACACGCCTAAACAACGCACGGGGCCAAAGCGCAGGGCCAGTGACGGCAATACTGAGTCCCTTTCGACGTGCGCACCCTGGTGCCCTGCGTGATGCGTCAAGTATAACTCTAGCTCAAGGCCCCATCCTGGAGCCAGGTCTGGGGGAGGGGATTTATGCATCCACTGGGGGGCCAGGGCTCCATCTATAGAGCCCAGTCAGGCTCAGGGYTACTGAACAACAACTTCCTGTGAGCCCACCACCTGCAGGAGAGACCATCTAACGAGGGCCGTGGAAAGTCATCCCTTTACAGTCTGACTCTGGTTTAATAAGTCAGCTCTCTGCAGAGGAACGAGCCTGATGCTGAACAGCAGTTCAGAACCAGTTTTATCATGGTTTATAGTGGGGGTGCTGAATGGTGGTCAGGCTGTGGACTCCATCGGTTTTCTGGGGGGCTTCAAGTCCCACAGTTTACCATGGAGGGCTGTGATTGGGAGGAGAGGCTTCTTTAATTTGAACCCAACGGGTGTTTTGTTATTGGACTTGTGTGTTAGTCATGGTCCATGATAAATACCATGTTGAGACATAAAGATGTCCATAAGTCCACCAGGACACCCTGGACCACAGACTGAAGACAGTCGTATCATCTCATCTGCAGCTGCATGTTCTGGACACATTACCAGCTGGCAGAGGGGTGCTGGACAGACCTGGTCAACCCAAATCTGCAGTGAGGGTCTGCTGAGACCACTTGCCAACTTTCACCTCTGACAGATATTCATGGCACTGCAGCAGAGACAGAAGACATTAGAGTCTTTCAGAAGACGCTCCTACACGTGTCCTGACCACCTCAGTCCCTTTGGACCAGGGGTTCTGAACCTTTGTGACCTCAGGGCCAATTTATTGAACATAAAGTGTCACGAGGCCCAGTCAGACATTACCAATGTATGGATCAAAATGATAATTATTATAAATCTTGGTTTAATTTTTATTGTATTTACATTATAACTACCATAACTA